TACCACCCATAGTCAAAGCTCTTTTCTCCCATCTGCATTGGGTCTATGATCTAACTCTTAGGTATGAACCATGAGACTGTTACTTAGCACCAGTCCCTCTTCCTTACATGGCTTCAGATTCCTTCTGGTTTGATCCTGGACTTCCTCTTGTCCTACTACAGTGCAAAAGGTCTTGGAATAGTCCTAGCACTGAAAAGTTCTGAGCCTGGAGTTCTCTTGACTATATCCTTGTCAGCCTTGTGTAAGTTAAAAAAATGACTATTTTTTTTCTTTCTTGAATTTAAGGACACAATGTGATGTCTGGTCTTTGTGGAGTAGTTATTCCTTCTACTCTACTATTTTAACTTGCCAATTAAAGTTTCAGGGCTCTCTTATTAAAACAGAAATGGCATTAAGTGTGTCTGTAGGAAGCAAACTCTTTAACCTTATCTATTATGCTCTGATGTTCTGAATGATGATGATGGTGATAAAGAATAAGAATAATAAATAATTTCAGGTTTAAACATTCTTTACATATGTTATCTCATTTTATCTTCTCACAACAATGATGCAGAGTACTTCTACTACTTGCCATTTTCTTTCACAGGATGGGAGGTTTACCACTTGGGGCCAATAATAGGAAGGTGCTATTATTATCATCTCTATTTTATAGGAGAAAATAAGTCTCTGAGTGGCTAAGCAATTTGCTTGTATCATACAGCTAACAAATGTCTAATATAAGCTTTTTTATTCCAGCAACCTTCTGTAATTTACCATCCAGTCACCTACCCAAGTTATGATCTGCCAGTTGCAGAAAATATTTAACCAATCCACTGGCTGGACTGACTACAGAAGACTCTAAATCCTAGTAGGCTTTGGCCTACTTTTGCCTCCCAGAGCATCATATTGCTGACTAGTTTCCCTCAGTCTTTCTATATCATTCTGCTTTCTTCTTTAGCTGTTCCTTTGTTCATACCAATTCCTAAATCTGGTACAGACTTCTTTACATCTTCATTTTTAATGTGTATTTCTTCCATCAAGACCCATCACAGATACCATATTTCCATGAAGGCTTACCTGATATCCCAGATGAAAGTAATATTTCCTCTCAAATTTTTCCTAGTACTTTTCTGGGAACTTTCCTTTACATTTATATAACATTCACTTGCATTAGAATTATTTGGCAGTTCCCCTCATCTCTAACCCAAATAGTTGGATGCACACTCCTTGAGAGGAGAGCCTGTGCTAAACTGATTTTTCATACCTAGCACCTAACATAATTTGTTGCATATAATACGTGTTTAATAAATGTAAATTGATCTGAAAAATAAGGAGGATATATGAGGCATGAATGACAGCTGACTGTTAGCATTTATTCTATTTTTGTCACAGGATAGGCATTGGAATAAATTTTCTTTTCTAATTTTTGCCAAAATTCTTACCATAATGGTCATGTGACTACAGAAATGCAAAGAATACATTGTCAGTTTTTTTCTGCCCTTACAGTGATGTTAATCAATATCCTAGGCTAATTTGCTTGGTCCTGGATTGGGTGGAATGTATGTACTGAGAATTAAAAACAATTTACTTACAACAAACTAAATAACCAACAGGCCTAGGGGACTCCCTAATGAGGTATATTAAGTTTGTTTAAAATTAAAATATGTTGACCATAGAGATTGTTTTCTATACTATTTGGGTATGGCGGTGAGCTTGACTAACAAGAGTTGGAAATATATTGATTAACCAAATCAGTCTTGCAAAAGAGAAGAAATATCAAAAACACATCTATCATATGGTATCAACTCATCAAAAAAACTCAATAGTAAATGATAACAGCATCTTAGCAGAGGGCCAAAAACTTGCGTCTTCAGAAACAGAGTGGATCAAAAGGGAGGCATCATGTATGGCCAAAGATGATGTGAGATTCCAGCTGAGTTTTTGCTTTGAATTAATCCATTGTCTAGCTCATTCTGGAAAAAAGTGATGCATTAATAGGGACTCCAACTGTCAATTTGAATAGATGAATATCACAAGAATACCATAAACTTGGGTGTAACTATGAAGGAGACCACATAGAGAAGGCCCTGGGTATACTTTCATCCCAGTTGGCACCATAAATTTTATTTTTTCTACCTCCCAGAACTCCCCTGTGACTTAGAAATATTTGTTCCCAAGTGGTCAAAGAGTCTTTTCTAATTTCTAATTGATTAGATATATTTTGAAAATGGTACCTCATAATTCAAGTAGGACAGAATAGGGTAGAAATTCTATTAACATTACAATTCCTAGTCTTTATGAAAGATGTCTATGGAATATTAAAATATTTAATATTAAAATATTAAACAACAAAATTCACTATGATTATAGCTTAAATACTTGACTAGTGGTTAACATAGTTTTAGACTTTCCTTGCCTTCATTTTATGACAACAAATAAACTAAACATTCAAATTAAAGATTGAACAATTTATAAAGGAATATGAGAAGAATATGTTACTCTACATTTTTATAAGTCAGAATTGGTGAGCCATTAATGAAGATGTTCTAGCTAAAATAATTGATAACTTATTCAGGCATGGTGAGTAAACCCAAGAGATCAAATATGACATTTCCATTTAGTCCTTAAAGATAGATTTTGGCCAAATCATATTTTCAAAGGACTGAAAGCAAAATCATCTTTTAGGACAATATTTTAGTTGGCAATTTCTTCATCAACTGCAAAGCAATATCCTAATTCTTGGGTTAAAACGTGATCACTGTCATTCACATATTTGCCTTCAAATGTAAATTAAAGCAAAAAAACAAAAACTTGATGTATTCAGAATAAATTAATGATAGGAAAAACATCTGGATCAATTTTGTGCTATGATAATACATATAAAACAAACAATCATTATCAGACTTTGTACCTAGCCTTCTTTATTCTTTTTTTCTCTTATTTTTTCCCCAATACTGAGGAAACAGTTCACTAGATTCTTATAGGTAGGCCTGGTCAAAATGTAGGAAGTTGGGTGGGAGAAAGCCCATTAGTGAGATGCTATGCACTTCAAATCTTTTGTTGTTAGTGTTGAAGTTTTTCAGTAGATTGAGGCAGTCATTTTTATTTTTGTTTTGCTTTATCCCCTAACAGCAGGTACATGAATAAATGAGCCAGAAGCAAGCATAACTTAGACTATAATATAATTCTTTGACCAATACTTCACCTCTCTAAAACTGTAAGCATGAACCTTCATATTCTACAACATGAGAGCAAAAGAGCTTCACAAATTAGCTTTTAACATAATAGCTAATTCTTTTGATTGTAACATCCCAAAAATAATTGATTATCTTTTAAAGTATTGCTTTCCTTGGATTTCAGCAAAGTAAAACTCTACTGTAATTAGGGAACAAACTACTGATTTCAGTGAGCCGTAACAGTGGTGTGCTATTTTTTTTTAATGGACATATCACTTTAAACTTAGCCTTCAACATCTGTTCTGCTTTCTAACCATAAATGGAAAAAAGAACATAATTTACAACTGTATCATCAAATACAATACGCAAGTGATTTAAATGTGTGTATGTTTTTTATTCAATGCCACATGCATCTGTTATGCTAGTTTCCTATTGTATAAATAAATTATCAAACTTTCCCTGGAGAAGAATTTTTGTGCTGTTTTTCCCCTAAGATAAACTAAATATTTTTTTCTTGTAAGAGTAAGACTTTCATTTTACTCTTTTGTTTTCATTTTTATGGCAAAGTTTAGACGAGCACAATGACCATGTGAGTTTCCTTCAGATCTGTAAGACTGACATCCAATTCTTAAAAGTTTTTCAAACTAAAGAACAGCTATTTTATGAGGATTTCACACATTAAATTTTTCATGTGAAGTTCTTTCAAGGAATAATGGCTGTATGTAATTTATTTAAGGGAAATTATTAGCCAAAAGTTTAATATAAAGAAAGACCTGATTATGTAGAAATAACTACTGGTTATATACCTCTCACTTTTCACTCTAACTAATTATTCTAGCTGCAATGCAGCCATTTCATTCCCTTTCTAAGTTTCAAGAAACCAGTAATATGGATGAACTGAAATCAGATATACAATTTTAATAATTTCACAATTAAAAGGGTCCAAACCTTCAACAAGCATGTATTAACTGCCTACTAAATATTAGAATTTGTGCTAGGCACTGAGGATGGAAAGAATTTGGGAAAGTAGTTCTGATTTGAGGAACTTGTATTCTCAATTATTCATGCTAATGGTAGAAGGAAGGTAATAGTGCTGACCCTGTGTAACAAATAAACTTTGTATGCATAAAAGTGGGTCACAACTTAGAGGGTAAACCAAAGAATTAATAGGCTCCCAGGAGTTTTTAACCTGTTTTTTTTTTAATTTTGACAAACATATTCCAAAATAATTATTCTCATTGTAATTGAATCAATTTTATTTTATTCATTTCAAAACATTGCTCTGAGAAGGAAACAGCAGGGTGTTTCACTGAAGAGTGAAAGGAATTTAAAGCACAGAGGAGAAGATTAAGAACTCCTGTTCCAGAATATACTGACTTGAGTCACCTCAAAGGTGGAGGTAAAGTGTGGGAAATCTGAATGTAGCAGACTTTTGTCTAGTAGGAGATATAAAAAGATAAGGAAGAGCATTAATGGATACCACCGATACTTCTATTACTAGTCACAATACTGATGCCCATAAAACAGCTATCACTAATTCTGTTACATTATTTTCGAAAGTAAATTGAACTACCTACTGAGTATGGCAACAGCAACACATTGCCAGCAACATCATTACCCATTGTGTGATTTGTCCTTCATTCTTGAAGAGGACCATGACATCAGGAAGATGATGACACGACTTGCAATTGACTTTGATTTGAGTGAGGGAGGGCTGTGTAAAGTCACCAGCCTCACTTTCTCCTTGAGAGGATCTGGGCCCAGAGGTCAGATATTGATCAGGATAACTAGAGATTGCCTAGGATGTAATGGGATACCTTGGCCCTTTTAAGCTAGAATCTTTCCAGGTTCTCTGAAAGGACAGGTCAGCATTCCCCTTAATAAGGATAGAAGAGTTCCTAGTGGCCTTTATAACACATGTAAGGTTAAAGCATTATCACCTACTCTGTGGCATCTAACTCATTGTGACTTTCATATTGGTAGGTCAAATTAGCACAGAAAATGTGATCTAATAATCATTGACTATTTCAGATACAGAATTAGCCACCTATGTAGATACATTGCTCAGAGAAAGAGAAAAGTAAAGCAATAAAAATAATGGAATTGATGTTTCTGATTGTGTGCTTGGTAACTTCTTTGCTAGTGATAGCACTTGGTAACTTGGTCTCTTCTGTTTTACTATTTTTAATGTTATGTTTCTATTTATTTAGTATTTTATTTTTCCCCAGTTACATGTAAAGTCAAGATTGACTTTACATGTAACTGGGGAAAAATAAAATACTAAATAAATAGAAAAAGTTCCAAATTCTCTGCCTTCCTCTCTCACCCCCCCCCCCACTGAGAAGGCAATCAATTTAATATAGGTTATACATGTATATGTATATTTAATATGTATATTTAATATAGGTTATACATGTGTAGTTACGCAAAACATAACCATAACAGTCAAGTTGTGAGAGAAAATATAGAACAAAAACTCAAGAAAAATAAAGAAAGTAAAAAAAGTATGCTTCAATTTGTATTCAGAAACCATCAGTTCTTTCTCTGAGGATGAATAACATTTTTCTTCATAAGTCCTTCAGAGTTGTCTTGGATCATTGTATTGCTAAGATCAGCAAAATAAGCCATTCACAGCTGATCATCTTAAAATATTGCTGTTACTTTGTAGACAGTATGTTACACTTTGCATCAGACTATCCAAGTCTTTCCAGGTTTTTCTGAGAATATCCTGCTCATCATTTCTTATAGCACAACAATATCCCATCATAATTACATATCACACACAATTTGTTGAGCCTTTCAACAATTGAAGGGCATCACCTCAATTTCTAACTTGTTTTTCCTGCTGAAAAGAGATGCTATAAGTATTTTATACAGGTACTTTTCCTTTTTTGTTTTTATCTCTTTTGTGATACAGATCTAGCAGTGGTATTGCTAGGTCAAAGGGTATGCGTGGCTTTATAGCACTTTTAGTATAGTTCCAAATTGCTGTACAGAATGGTTGAATCAGTTCACAACTTTGCCAACAATGCATTAATATCTCATTTTTCTCACATCCCCTCCAACATTTCTCATTTACCTTTCTCTTCCTTTAAATAATCTAATAGGAATGAGGTAGTACCTCAGAATTGTTTTAATTTTCATTTCTCCAATAAATAGAGAGTTCGATTATTTTTTCATATGACTATATATAACTTTGATTACTTCATATGAAAATTGGTTATATATTTTGATCATTTATCAATTGGGGAATGGCTCTTATTTTTATAAATTTGGCTCAGTTCTCTATATGTTTGAGAAATGAGGTCTTTATCAGAGAAAATTGCTTCAAAAATTCTTTTCATAGTTATTATTGCTAACTGTATTTCCATCCATCCTCTTTCATCCACCCCTATTTATTCTAGTGTATCTCCTTTCACCCCATCCTTCCTTGAAAGTGTTTTAAAAGATTATAAGGATTTATAATCTCCTCTCCCCAAATCTGCCCTCCCTTCTATGACACCTCCCCTTTTCCCTTCTTTCTCTCATGCTTTCCTATAGGGTAGGATAGATTTCTATATCCAGTTCTGTGTGTATGTTATTCACTCTTTGAGTCAATTCTGATGAGAGTAAGGTTCACTCACTCCTCTTCAGCTCTCCCCTCTTCCCTCCAGTGTAAAAGCTTTTACTTGCTTCTTTTATTGAGATAATTTACCCCATTCTACCTCTTGCTTCTTCTCTCTCCCAATATATTCTTCTCTAATCCTCTACTTTTATATTTAAGATATTATCCCTTCATATTCAACTCACACCTGTGCCTTTTGTCTGCATATATTACTTCTAACTACCCTAATAATGAGAGAGGTCTCATGAGTTACAATTATCATCTTTCCATGTAAGAATGTAAGCAACTTACTCTTATTTAGCCTCTTATGATTTCTCTTTCCTGTTTACCTTTTATGTTTCTCTTGAGTCTTGTATTTGAAAGTCAAATTTTCTATTCAGCTCTGGTTTTGTCATCAAGAATGTTTGAAAATCCTCTATATCATTGAATGTCATTTATTCCCCTGAATTATTATATTCTCTTTTGCTTGTTAGGTGATTCTTCATTGTAATCCTAACTCCTTTGCTTTCTGAAATATCATATTCAAATCCTTATGATCTTTTAATGTAGAAGCTGTTAAATCTTGTGCTATCCTGACTGTGGCTTCCATCATATTTGAATTGATTCTTTCTGAATGCTTGAAATATTTTCTCCTTGAACTGGAAACTCTGTAATTCGGCAATAATATTCCTGGGAATTTTCATTTTGGGATTTTTTTCAGGAAGTGGTTGGTGGATTCCTCAAATTTCTATTTTATTCTTTGATTTTAGAATATCAGGGAAGTTTTCCTTGATAATTTATTGAAAGATGATGTTGAGGCTTTTTTTTTGATCATGGTTTTCAGGTAGTTTGGATTAGCTCTCCTCAATGTATTTTCCAGGTGAGTTGTTTTTCCAACGAGATATTTCACATTTTCTTTGACTTTTTCATTCTTTTGATTTTCTTTTATTCCTTCTCGATTCTTCATAAAGTCATTAGCTTCCATTTTATCCATTGTAATTTTTAAGGAATTATTTTCTTCTGTGAGCTGTTTGACCTCCTTTTCCATTTGGTCTGTTCTGCTTTTTAAGGCATTCTTCTCCTCAGTGGCTCCTCTTTTGCCTAGTGTAGTCTATTTTTAAGGTGTTATCTTCAGCATTTTTTGTGTCTCCTTTACCAAGCTGTTGACTCTTTTCTCATGATTTTCTTGCATTACTCTCATTTCTCTTCCCAATTTTTTCTGTCCCTCTATTCCTTGATTTTCAAAATCCTTTTGAAGTCTTCCATGGCCTTAGACCAATTTATATTTTTTCTTGGAAGGTTTCAATGTAGGTGTTTGACTTTGTTGTCTTCTTCTGAGTGTGTGTTTTGATCTTCCTTGTCACCATAATAACTTTCTATAGTCAGTTTTCTTTTCCATTTTTGCTCATTTTCCTGGCCTATTACTTGACTTTTTACTCTTTGTTAAAGTAGGGTTCTGCTTCCAGTGTGGAGGGCACATTGTCCCAAACTTCAGGGGTTTTATTCAGCTTTTTTCAAAGATACTTTTAGGGACCTGTAAGCTTTCAGTTCTTCCAAGATGGTATAATCTGAGAAATTTAATACTCTCTGGGCCTGTGATCTCATCAGTGAGGGACCACAAGCACTCTTTTCTTCCCAGGAACTGTAAGCATGCTCCCCATTCCACTGTGGCTGAAAGATCTGCTATGTTAGTGCTCCTCCTTGCATGGGAACTGCCACTAGGACTGCTACCTGCATCTGAGTATGAGTAAAGCAACAGGATCCTGCCTCAATGCTAACACAAGTCCGCCTGTAATCTACTTTTTACCAGTTGTTCAACCCCCTTTACCATCTGTGGGCTGAGAGCTCTGGGAGCAGCTGTTGCCACTGCCACTACTGATTCAATGGCTCCCAACACCTCCTGATTTGCTGTGACTGGCATACCCTTCACTCTCACCCAGGTTGGGACACCTTTCCTGATAACTTCTTATTTGTCTTTGTTGTCTATGGTACGAGTGGTCTGAAAACCTTTACTGCTGCTAGTGATTCAGTCACCTGGAGGCCTGGTTCTGATTTGCTGGGGCTCGGTCTTTGCTGGTATGGCATGGGCTAGACTAATTCCTCTTTCACCTTGATGCAACAGACCTTTCCTGCTGACCTTCTAGGTTTTCTTGGTCTGGAAATTTGTTTCATTCTGTCTTTTTGTGGTTTCTTTTTCTTTAGAATTTATTTTGAGTCATTTTAAAGATATTTGGAGGGGTATGGAGGAGAGTTCAGGCAAGTCTCTGACTACTCTGTCATCTTGATTCCACCTCCTGAATTTGGTCTCTTCTGAAACTTCTTCTTTTTTTCAGAAAAAAAAACAAACAAACAGCAAAATGAGACAAAATAGACATCCTTTAACTGAAGCAATGCTTTATTTGAGGAAAGGCAGAATGACAGCAGTTGCAAGTTGTAGGCTAAAATATAAGCAGGTATTATGAATTTTTATATTTCAGTACTTAAATGGAACAGTGATCTCTTTGATACAACTTTTTCTTCATCAGTTGAGATCACAACTAATATCAAAGTATTTCATGAGCACAAGAGTATCTCAAGGGCCATTTAAAGTAATCTTACTGGACTAAACACTCCCTCCACATTCTACCTTCTGATAAAGGGAAATCCATCATCTCTTGGGATAGTCTATATCACATTTTGAAAGTCTTAATAGTGAGAAAACTCTTCCTAATACCAAATATAAATTTTCCTCTTTGAAATTTCTACTTTCTCCTAGTTGTGCCCTCAGTTCTTAATGGGGGCTAATATGTAAGTGAAGTCTGTCTTTGGATGCTTCTTTTCCCATCTCCCTTACCATCTCTCCTCTACCCAAGATATCCTTGTACTTATATTTCTTCATCCCACCCATCCATGTCTTCTTAAATGTGACTCTTGCACTTGTTTTGCCATACATGCTTCAGAGAATGAATCAACTTTCTTAGAGGCTGTTCTCTAGGTCTTTGCATTAAAATTTTAAATAGCAGTGCAGCATTCAGACTATCCCTTTATTATTGTTCACTGTTGCAATGTGACCATATCATATTCTTTTCCAATAATATATTTCCTCAATGATATCTATTGATGATGTACCATCTGTATCAGAGAGATGGCATGGAATAGGAAACATTAAAAAGGAAGAAGGAAAAAGTCATATGCCTGAAGTTTGGGACCCCTGAACTACCATCTGGCATTAATTACCTCTGAGACCTGGGGAAGTCACTTCACCTCTCTAAGTCTCAATTTCCTCATTAAAATAAACATGTAGAAGATAATTATCTTTAAAGGACTTTCCATCTAAATAACTTTATGAACTTTTATTTTAATCATAAATGTAGTAGATGTTGGTTTAACGTACAATTTCTGTCATGT